TAATATTAATCAATATAAAAATTAAATCAATGGTTAAATAATGCTTCAAAATCATTTCTTACTTACAATTTTTTTTAAGATTCTTATGATAAAAGTTTATTTCTAAAAAGTTACAAAAGCTTTATTTAAACTTTAACAGTTTGTGTAATATTTCATGTTTTTATACTAAATAGCAACATTTAATGATAAAATATTAATTATACAATCTCTTTAATAATATTGAACTTAATAATGCGCTTTCGAGCCTGTTTGACACGATACTCTTGGCAACAATTGCCTCCGAGGTAGTGACGAGAAAGAGTCTCACCTCTGCTTTATAAGAAAACGTGAGCAAACGTGAAACTTATATCGTACGTACCTAGACTTCATGTTATGTAATGTTAAAACATGCTTAAACATATATCAAGTTCTACACTTTGATTTTCACTCAAGAACTGCATTTCGTCAACCTCAGCTTGATTTCTAATCTTTTGCATTTATATCTGTTAAAAATAATTTTTATATAATTTTGAATCTTTATTATTTGATGTATCAGCTTAGTCGAGTGGTTAGCGCACTGGGCTTCAAAACATAACTGCCGAGGTTCGAGTCCTACCATTGACGACTACTGTTTTAATTTTTTTTTAGATTTTTTTAAAAACAAATTCAAATACTTATAAAGTTTTATAGATATTGTATATAGATTCATGTTATGTAATGTTAAAACATGCTTAAACATATATCAAGTTCTACACTTTGATTTTCACTTAAGAACTGCATTTCGTCAACCTCAGCTTGATTTCTAATCTTTTGCATTTATATCCGTTAAAAATAATTTTTATATAATTTTGAATCTTTATTACTTGATGTTTCGGCGTAGTCGAGTGGTTAGCGCGCTGGGCTTCGGAACATAGCTGCCGTGGTTCGAGTCCTACCGTTGGCGACTACTGTTTTAATTTTTTTTAGATTTTTTTAAATACAAATTCAAATACTTATAAAGTTTTATAGATATTGTATATAGATTCATGTTATGTAATGTTAAAACATTACATAAATCTAGGACATTAAAAGTTATCATTTAGATGTTTTCATTTGATTGAAATTTTCTTGCGTTATAAACCGGATAATAGTTCTTATGAACTGTAAGCACGCGGATAAAGTGTGCATCAATATCCTAAAGACCCGTATTTTACGGGTCATGACAGCTAGTATTATGTAATTTTTATATAAATTAATTGTTATATATATATATATATATATATATATATATATAATATATATATTCTTTTTTTTATAAGTATTGTAGATAAGAAATACAAAGATATACAATGACATCAAGGTCTACAATATGGAGAAAGACTAAATCTTTGATTGTCAGTATATTAGAAAATAACAATTATCAAAGTTCAACTGGTGAGTTTTTTTCTAGTCCAATTCATAATAGTATTGATACTTTTGAAAGTGGTTCTACATTACCAATAGCTGAACTCTCTTCAATAAGTGATGATTTTAGTAACTCTTTTGAGTCTTTTCATTCTAAACATTGTCCTGATTTGGCACATGATCTTGCTCAGTGGGCGGTTTAGCATGCAGTTACACATTTTTCTTTAAATGATTTGCTTATTTTGTTGCGAAAACACGGACACGAGGACCTAGCAAAAAATTCTAAAACTTTACTTAAAACGCCTAATTGTGTGCTTACTGAAAATATGTGCTCTGGTGACTATATCTATCTATGTTTAGCTACTGGTATTAAAAATATGCTCCAAGTTGATGAAGCAAGTATCAATAACAACATACATTTAATAGTAAATTTAGATGGTCTGCCGCTTTTTAAATCTAGCAATACTCAGCTTTGGCCTTTACTTTGTCAATTTGGTTCTAAACCTCTGTTTCCTGTTGCTTTTTTCTGTGGCAAACAAAAACCTAACTCTTCTATGGAGTTTCTCAGGCAGTTTTTGGAGGAATTCAAAATGCTTTTAGAAAATGGTCTTGTTTACAAAGATAATTTTTTTAATGTGAGTTTAAAGTTTTTGACATGTGATGCTCCGGCACGTGCTTTTATTAAATGTATAAAACCACACAATGCTTACCATGGCTGTGAACAATGTTTTGACAAGGGTGAATGGCAAGGAAGAGTTGTTTTTAAACAGGTTAATTCTGTTCTTCGTTCAGACGAACAGTTTTCTAAAATTACAAAGATCATCAAGTATTTAGAAATCCTTTGATTGATTTTAATTTACCTTGTGTTTCTACCTTTGTTTTAGACTATATGCATTTAGTTTGTCTTGGGGTTGTTCGGCGACTAATAATATTTTGGACAGAGGGACCAAACATATGTTGTTTGTCATATGTCCAAATTAACCGCATAACTGAAAAATTAAATGACTTATCTGGTAAAATGCCATCTGATTTTGTCAGAGAGCCTAGATCACTAGAAGAGTTTAAAAGATGGAAAGCTACAGAGTTTCGTTCATTTCTTATGTATACTGGTCCCTATGTATTAAAAAATGTATTAAAACATGATCTTTATATACATTTTCTTTGTCTTTGTATTGCTATTCGTGTGTTAGATGACAATAATTCTAGTTCTAATGCCATTGGCTATGCATCAATGCTGTTAAATTGGTTTGTATCTAAGTCTGTGGATTATTATGGTCCAACATTTACTACATATAATGTTCATAACCTGATTCATTTGTCTGAAGATGTTATAAAATTTCAAATGACCCTACTCGGTATGTCTGTCTTTTCGTTTGAAAATTATTTGCAGCGTCTGAAAAGATTGGTTCATGGTAAGAACATGCCGCTTGCTCAAATTGTCAAGCGTTTAGGAGAAATAGATTGTTCAGATAATAAATTTTTGAGAAAAAAACACAAATCAAAAGTAGTCCCTGGTGGTAAAGATAGCTGGGTTTTTTTGAAAAGTGGTCAGTTGGCACAGGTTATTGAAATCAATTTCGATTCTTTACTTTGTGAAATAATTCCATGTCGGCTTTTTAATGACTTCTTTGTTGTACCATGCAGTTCAAGATATAACAAAATATTATCTGTGCCAAAAAATGCTTCTGTAATAGAAAAACTGTTCAAAAAACTGAACTCAAACACAAAGTTATTAGTTTTAAGGGTAGAACAAGAAATGTTGTTTTTTCATTATGTCATGATTGTGTGTTTTGAATAAATTTTGTTTGTTTTATCTATTTAAATTTTTTTTTATTGTCAGTTGCATTAGTTTTTGAATGCAGTTTATTGAGAATCATATATGGTAAATATATTCCCTACTATTTCAATATTTATGTTGAATATATATTTAATAATGAAATTTTGTTAAATTTTATTTAATTTTAGATATTTTTCAATCGAAAATTAATTTTCATCATAACATTTTATTAAAATCTTAATTGAAACATTCAAATTTTGCATATTTGAATGTTTCAATTAGGATATTTTGCATATTTGAATGTTTCAATTTTGCATATTTGAATGATTCATTTTATTTTGATAGTTATAATAGAAATTAAGTTAATTTTTTCTATTTCAAAGGATTTTGCTCAAAGATTTTTTGTAAATAATTTTTCAAAAAAAGGAAAACTCAGGTGAGCATCAAATAACAAGTTAGATCAATTTCTGGTATTTATGTTAGTTTTTTCTATTTGTTCTTTCTGAATGTTTTTCGTTTGTTGATAATGCTTTTAATTAAATTTGTTTATAACTGTTTATTTAAATGAATTTATCTCTTAGTGTCAAACAAAGAATACACGAATTAATTGAGATATGCTAGAAGTTTGGAAAGAATGTAAAAATCAAACTAGTTTCACTCTAAGTTATTGTATATAATTTTAAAATTTTGAATAGAAGAATTATAAAGTTTATTTTTCTTTTTTAGTCTTTTAATTTCCATATTCAATTAGTTGCCTGTACTAATATAATTGCCATGTATGAACTAAATAAATAAAAGGAAAAAAAATATCACAGCACGATGTTATACATTGCAACATAGTGCTTTATTGCTCTTTGCAGTGTAGAAATAGCGTCGTGAAAATGTTAGAAATACATTGGTGATTGTTTTTTTTATAAAGTTTGGCCAACGTCATCAAATTAACGTAAGCCTATGTTTTATTTCAGCCATTATTCCAACGTCTAAACAACGATAAAATAGACATTGTCTCAACGTCATTTTGCTCAAAATACAACGTTTGCCCAATGTCTTCATAACGTCTTTTTTCTTAAAATTTAACGTTGTTATAACGCCTTTCTGACGTCATTTTGCTCGAATGTAACGTTGTCACAACGTCATTTTACATCGTTGCAACAACGTTAGCAAAATGACGTCTTTCCGCTGTTTCATTTATAACATCATACCAACGTCTTTCCAACGATACGGAAGACGTTGGAATAACGTTGTCCCAACGTCATTTTTTTTTATTGGGAACATATCTCAATGAGTGGTTTATAGCAAATAAACTTTCATTGAATATTGAAAAAACAAAATATATTTTGTTTGCTAAACCATCTAAATCCGAGAATCTTACACTTACACTACCAGAACTAACTATTAACAATATTAAAATAAAAAGAGTGTTTTCAATAAAAATACTTGGAATAATTTTTGACGAACATTTAAATTGGAAAAGCCAAATAAAGCTAGTCGAGAACAAAGTCTCAAAGACTTTAGAGATAATGTATAAGACTAAACCTCTTTTAAACAAAATATGTTTAAAAAATTTATATTTTTCGTTTATACAAAGTCATATTAACTATTGTACTATTGCCTGGGTAAACAATGTATGTAGATATGTATATATATGTATATATGTATGTATGTGTGTGTTGTATGTATGTATGTATATATGTATGTATGTGTGTGTGTATGTATATATATATATGTTAATGTAAGTATGTATATATGTATATGTGTGTGTATGTATATATATATATATATATGTATATATATATATATATATATATATATATATATATATATATATATATATATATATATATATATATATATATATATATATATATATATATATATATGTATTTATATGTATATGTGTATATGTATGTATGTATGTATATGTGTATATATATATATGTGTGTATGTATGTGTATGTGTGTATTTGTGTGTATGTGTATTTGTGTATGTATATATATATATATATATATATATATATATATATATATATATATATATATATATATATATATATATATATATATATATTTATATATATATATATATATATATACATGTATATGTGTATATGTATATATATACATATATCCTTCTCATATAGATTAGATTAGATTAGATTAAAATTTATTAGAACAGTGATACATGTTCTAAAGGACACGCAGGTCCATAAAATATGAAGGACTCTGACAACGTGCCCTGCAATTACATAATACAAATGCTAGTTAATTTAAAATATATATTACAATTATATATAAGACCATAGTTATAAAACAAAAACCAGTTAGCCGGAACAGTATTTTTCAAAGTCGATAGAGTTAATTTTAATTTTGAAGCTCTTTATATTTTTGGCATTCACGACGTCAGACGGCAAGTTATTCCAAATATTAACAACCCTGAGTGAGAAAGAGTGTTTACGGACATCGAGTTTACATTTTAGTTTGCGTAATTTAAAATTATGTCCTCGAGTGTAAATATAGTTGTTAAATAAAAAGAAACTTGATTTATTTAGGCAAACTAAGTTGTTCAGAATTTTGTAACATGTAATCATGTCTTGCTTAAGGCGACGAATTTCTAGTAGTTCCAAACCAAGAATACTAAGTCTACTTGAATATGAAACATTATTTAGGTTAGAAATTCTCTTGGTAAAACGTCTTTGTACTCTTTCCACTGTATTGTTCATTTTAGTGCGATTTGGCGACCAAACCGGAGAGCAATATTCTAAGATCGGTCTTATATAAGTAGTGTAGGCTTTAACGATAACACGTGGATCACGACTTTTAAAACATTTAAGGATTAGATATCCTCGAATGTTTGATGCACGGACGATATTTGAAATATGATTACTGTAATTCAAATAAGAATCCATGGTCACACCAAGATTTTTTGGGTTTGTAGACCAAGTTAAATTTTGATCGCCTAATTGATAGTTGTAATTTATATCTTTACAAAATGAAGTAGGTGCTATTCTATGAGTAAAGCACTTATTATTGGCTATTTTTAATTGCCATTTTTTTGACCAGAGATAAACTTTATAAATGGCTACAGCAAGATCGTGACTGTAATTGGTATCCTTAAATGAACTATATAACTTGATATCGTCAGCATATAACATTAGAGAGCAATTAAGATCTTTTACTATAGAGGGTAGATCATTAATAAATAATAAGAATAACGTTGGACCCAAGACGCTACCCTGTGGAACTCTACTTAGGATGCAGGTTGGATTAGATAGTGAATTTCCAACCAGAACTCTTTGATATCTGTTAGAAAGAAATGCTGATATCCAATGAAGCAGATTATCTATTATGCCGTACATTGCAAGTTTCTTCAGAAGTTTTGGATGAGGTACAGAGTCAAATGCTTTTTGAAAGTCAATGTATACCACGTCAGTAATTAAATTGCTGTCTAAAGCTTTATTCCAGTCATTAGTTGACTCTAGAAGATTTGTGCACGTAGATCTTTTGTTTATATATATTCTTCTTGTTTCTTTTTGTTTGTTTGTTTTAATTTTGTTTTAAAAAAGTAATGAGTAGATGAACTTAAATCTATAAAATGTTCGGAATCTTTTTCAATTCAAAGTATCTTTTGTATATTTAAATATATATTATGAAGTTTATTGGATATGTAAACGCATATGTACGGATTTGTAAATTATTTTTTTAAATTTTTAAATTTTTTTTTATTTTCAAACTTTTTAGTTTTGTCAAATTTTTTTAACTTTTTGATTTTTTCAAACTTTTCAATTTGTTTTTTTTCACTCTTTTATATTTTATTGGAAATTGTAAAAATTTTTTTTTTTAATTTTTACGAAGGGGCTTGATGATAAGACATTTTGTCTTCTACTTGCCCCAGTCAGCTTGCATTTGTATAAACTTATTTGAATAAAAGGTTAACATTGTAAAATGTGTCAAATGATGAAAAATAAAAATAAAAAAAATGTATGCAGATGACTGTAAAATAATCGAAATAATCGAAAACTATAGAATCAAACCATGACATCATAAAACTCCAAGCCGATATCAACAAAGCAGTGAAGCGGTTGCACACATGACTCATGTCATTTAATGTTGACAAGTGCAAAGTCATGCACACCGGGCGCAGCAACAACAAAAAAAAGACTGCGTTTTATACAATGATTAACCTGGACGGCCAACTGCGCCAGCTATCATGCACGTCATCTGAACGAGATCTAGGCGTTTTTATAACGAGCGATCTAAAAGTTAAAAAACATATCTGTGCGGCTGCATCAGCTGGCAATCGAATGCTTGGCAAGCTCAAGAAGGCTTTTCGAGGTCGAGGTTCTGCATTATGGTGCACACCTTATATTTTGTACGTTCGCCCACACCTAGAAACATATTGCCTCCCTTAAACACCTTTCGTATGCTCAAAGACTATCAAGTCTTAACCTGACAACACTAACTGAACGACGAAAAAAAGGAGACCTTATCGAACAATATAAAATCATGACCAAAATTGATAAAGTTAACTTTCACGTCCCTCAACTTCAACCTAACACGGAATCTTCAAAGTACAGTTTTCGGCCGCGTGGACACACTAAAGAACTAAGAGCAAAACTTGTCCGAAACTGCGCTGAATAAAGCAACTTCTTCACCAACCGTATTGTAAGATTATGGAATTCTTTAACCCAAAATGCGGTGGACGCAAAGAACTTGAACAATTTTAAACACGAACTTTCTCTGCTACGGCATTTTCACTTAAGCTGAAATTGAAAAACTGTATTTTCATAACAGAGAGGCCTGGTAGCCGCTCTTTATCAAAAAAAAAATTATTTTTGACCATTAATGAATAAACTTAAACGTTGTGCGGCAGTTCAGATTGTTTAATGTGTTAAAAATGTTTTCAACAAAAAACCATCAATTCTTAGTTTAGAAGTAAATGATATTATCTTTTTTCTTACTTGTCTATACTCTACAAAATTAAAACCAAGTTTCTGAGAGGAATTTCAGTAGACTAAAGATTATCAAAAGTTATCAGTAGACTAAAGATTATCAAAAATGAGCAAACAATTTGTTTTTTGTATCACGTTTCTTATTTTAATTTCAAATATGCAACTCATTTTTCACCATCACGTCAAGTTGTAAAGATATTTTGGTTCAAATCTTTAGTATTTGGGCTAAAATCCCTAATATTGTCAAAAAAAATAAAATATTGGAAAGTATGTCAACCAGGGTCTCAAAAGATGTGCATTTTCATTGAGATTTTAGAAAATATAAATATTTTTCCTTAAAATTAATTAGCAAAAAAATTATGTAAAAAAAATGCAAAAAACTCTCAAAAAAGTTTTAACACAATGTTTCTCAGCAGTAATACAAAAAGTACTTATTTTTATTACAAACGTATATTGTTTATAAAATCTCTAAAAAAAACGCTTTTGAGACCCAGGTTGACATACTTTTGAATAATTTTTTTTGAAAATATTAAAGACTTTATCCCAAATACTAAAGAATGGCAAGAAAGAGTTGCAGCTCTATTTTTAGAAAAAAGTGAACCAAAGTGTATGCAAATATTTAACTTATGTAAACTTCAAATTATGTTATGTATCATGAACATTGTTTATTAAATTGTGTTAAAACATTTTAGGAATATTACGTCTTAGTGGCTGAAGTGGTTAGCTTGCAGCATTTCTAAATTATATAGTCATGGCTCAAATC